AAGTCACCTTGATGAAGAATAAAATCATGATATTAAAAGGTATGTGGTGCTGTTAGAAATCATGGTGGTGTAGGGAGAAAAGGTCTCAATTGTATATTGGGCAAGAAGCCTAGCTCACGTCCAAGAAATATTAGCTCTTCACGTTGGATCAAAAGATCAAATTGTATAATCTGAAAAAGAAAACTTTCTAAAAAATATTACCAAATTACACAATTTGGAAACTTTTATTTTATGAAAAAATTATTTTCAAACTAGTTGAAAATTTATATTTTATTCAAAAAAATGATTTTGGAATTATAAAAAAAAAACAATTTCAGATTGAAAATAAAAGTCACATTTAATTATAAAGTGAGAAATTTTCCATTTAAGAAATTGCAGAAAAAATATATGGAAATGTGACAGTAGAGACCTAATTTCAATGCAACAGTAGAGACCTAATTTTAATTAAATTTCATATTATTAAGATAGAGTAGTTATTGAATTAAAAAACTTATTAATTTACGATTTTTTAATAATTGATTAAAATGTAATTTTTGTTTTTATAAGTACCATTACGTTTAAATTTATTCTTATTTTCTTATGTACGCCATTTAAAACTATTTTTTTTATTCGTTGTTAGTATTTAGGGATTATAAAATATAATATATTTGCTGGATTCATAAAACAATAGAGATATATAGATTAATGATTTCACCTACCAATTCATTTTTAATTTATTGAGCCTTTGTGTCAACATATTAATTTATTCATGAATTAATATTATGTGTGATGTATTGATAATTTTTTAAAGTATTTAATTTATTAAAAACTATTATTTCCTTTTGTTTGTGCACTAAAAAAAGTAATTTTATCATCAAGTATCATTTTAATATTTTATTTTATCTTTTGCTTGTTGAAATTGTAAAGATGAACACATTGAGATAAGTATTTAATGCAGTTTAATGAAATTATTTTCTAAGAATTAATGATTATTAAATAATTCATTTTTCTTGTTTTGACAGTGTCATAAATAAACCCATCAACTCCTGCAACAATCATGGTTGGAAAATGTTTAAAAGTGTGTTTGAACAGTCAATTATGCACTGTTCATTGAACTTCGAGAAGATTAAAAAAATGGTAAATTGACATCTAACAAAATACAAGCACCTACTGATTAATTCAGGGTTGTTCAATTAAAAATGCATTTGTTGTCAAAATTTCATTATGTATAATTAAATTGGATTAGTATTAATCAATCATTTATACGATATATTTAATTATTTTTTATTTATATGTTTTGTTTTAAGGTTGTGAAATATTATGAGACGGATTTCATGTCTAAAAACATGAGTAGTGAGTTGGGTCATTCAAATAAAAAGTTAATAGTTCATTTTCACTGTTGGGAGATTATGGCAATATCAATATTTGATAGTATTTTTGGAGATAAATGAAAAGTTTAGGGTTTTACATCAAAATGCTCAATATAATATATATTAAAATAAGGGTAAAGTATCTTTTTAATTTCTATCTTTATATGTGATATTGAAATTAGTCTCTATATAAAAATTCATATAAAACTTATTTATATAAACGAAATTAAAATTTAACTTTTTAAAAAATTCATATAAATTTATATTTGTATTTTAGTAATATATAATATACTCTCCAAAAAATATGTATTTTTTTTTTAAAATTACATGTGTGACATTTTAATCCTGTTAACATGACCGTTAAATATTAAAATTTAATGTTGTTGATTCTAAAAGACGTATTTCATACATTAATAAAATTAATAAAATATAAGATGAATTTTATATGAACAGTGGAATTTCAATTCATAAATACAAAACCTAAAAATATATTTAATTCTAAAATAATTTAGTCTCCACAATTATAAACAAAAACTTTTAATTTTATTAAAAAGATAAATTCTCCTTTATATCTTTAACCTTTTTTAAATATTGGACATAAAAAAACAATTTTGACTCCAAACATCTAGCAACAAGTTACAACAATAATATTTTTCACAAAAACATACCTAAACTACTTATATATAAACATTCATATTCCTAAATGAAGTCCCCCAAAAGCAATCTGTTGAAAATTAACAAGAGTTTATTTTCCATCATGTGTTCCATGAATGTGATTTATTCAAAGTCATTACTTTTTACTATGATACCCATTTTCCCATCATCTTTGATAATGTTAAAAAAAAATCCCACCACGCCACTACACTAACTAATGTTCATAGTATTTAACCGTTCATCCGCTTAAATATAAAAGACCTAACAAAATTTATAAATGTTTTTTAACATATTTGTTATTTTGGAGAATATAAGAAATACTAAAAATTTTAGAAAATGGAAATTTATATTTGCTATGAAAATCAAAAACATATTCGTGTTAGATTTTTATACAAGGAAGATGGACTTATATCACTTTCAACATAAAATTTTAAAATTTAATATTTATGGGTTTTATTTTTCTTATACATTATTTAATTTTTATTTTTTCTTAATGTGAAAACTTTTACTTTGCATTCCTAATAATTTGATTTTATATATATATATATATAATATATATATATCTATATATATTATAATCATAGATATCTACATAATTTTGTGAATTTTATAATTAAAGTTGTTTCCTGCTATTCGATACTGTTTTTCAAATTTCATATATTAACTGATAATAAGTGGATAGTATTGACGTATTTTTAGAAAACAGCGTCAATTATTACAAGTTTTTTTAAAAACCTAGTTTTATTATCAAAATACATGCAACTCTTCTCTCTCTATCTAGAATATAATCTATCTCTCTACTTATCTATTATATATCTATCTATATCTATATATCAAATGACTCCTTAATCTTGTTAACTATATTTTTTAAAAGACAAAGATATGATATTATTTGTCGAATACTTAATGTTAGGTAATTTGTAATTAATATAACTGATAGATAGACTATAGGTACTTTAGGAAGGATGAATCACTTAGTTGGATATTAAGGATTGACAACTAAATGAGTAAGATGTTGACTAACTAACTACTACGAATATCGGATACCGAGTATTATGTTTTTCATACTAAAACCTGCATTTATTATTTGATAATAAAGTTGCTCAACAAGTTAAGAAACGCCTACCGGTAGACTCTTGCATTGGATAACTTAACTAAGAAACATGTGGAGATTCTCACAAGTAAGCTAGTCATTGGATCCATAACTGTGGTCCATTCATATGTGGACCCATGGTCAACAAAATATACATATAAAAATTATTTTAACTGACTTTACATTTTTACATTAATCCAAAGAATGAAAGAAGCTTAGAAGATGAATACAAAATAGTAAAAAGTTGGTAGAGTAGAAAGAGATTTTATAAGGTACATTCAATTCCTTAATAATAAATATATAAAAATTTCTTTTCCAATTGACTTTTAACGTCGAACTCTTCCACTTTTTGACTTTCCGAGGTCAAACTCTTCATGAACATTCCTTTTCCAACTAACTTTTTTAAATGTTTAAAAAGAATATGATGTTAGTCCATGTATTATTGGACGTTATATGTGTACAAAAAATGTATTTTCAGTTAAGTTTTTTAACCATAAAAAAATTTATATAATGTTGGCACCCATATAATAAACATCTAAAGTATATATGACATCAATTACATGGATAGTCCGATGCCTAATTGTTCATTTTATTTACAAAAATATCATTTTTTACGTTGAGTTTTTTCTAAGTTAACGTTGAATGCTTGACGCTAAAAGCTCATCTCGTATCAGTGTTGGTTCTCAAACTTTAAAAATAAATAATATAATTTTTTAATCTAATTATGTTAATTTTTTATATGTTAATGTTTCGTGTTGAGATTTGAGTTCAACGTGTCAAATTGCATAAAAAATTTATAGAACTTAATTTGATACTTTAAAAAATGTTAATATTATTAAGTTAGAAAAGCTATATTAATTATTTTTAAAGTTTGGAAGTCAAAATATATTAATTAATCTCTTTATTTTAAAAATCATGCACGCCCAACAATATTTTAGAGCATTTTACACAGAAAGAAAAGCCGAAAGAATTGTAGAAATAATTTTGAAACAATTATATTTTCATGACGAAATCATTGAACCCTTTATATGTTTATATATAAAGCAAATACTTGTGAAACTAAAAGAGTATAGGAAGTTGTTTATATAAATAAATGAAATGAATTTTGTTCAAGTTCAAACACTCATACAAGACATGTGAGTCTGAAAAGTAAGAATAGATATTTGAAAACGATAGAGTGGTATTTCATTTGACCATCGATTAAACAATCTCCTGTGAAAGCATATCTAGATATGGTGGCCATAGACTCTTATTAAGATAATAGTTGAAAACTATTTTTGGCTACTAAACTATTCAATTAATCATTATCATCTTTTTCTTCATCTCTCACTTAGAAAACAACTGGCTGGCTCCTACCAGCCTTAGATTGTGCTTTCCTTTATGCCATAAAAAACACTACAACTCCATACCATCCATACCAAGCAATACATTCTCAAAAAATTATATATTTAGGGCATATTTCAGAGAAGGTTTAACTTTTATGATATATAAATGACCAATAATAAATCGGGCCAAAAGAGGTGAAATTGACCCGTTTTTTCACCATATAATTATACCTATTTATGAATGTATAATTATTGATGTTTACTTAGATGAAAATCTGTGTTTACTTGCACTGGGCACCAAATATGACCTATACATCTGAAGCCAAAATTTCCATAGACAACGTAAATAAAGGTCAAAGATCAGGATAAGCATAGAAAAATATCAAAGATTATCCACACCAAAAGAAGACAAAACGAAAAACAGTATCACGAAACAAGACAACCCAAAGTCAACCTCGTCATCCTTCAAATTCCAAAACACATGACACAATCACCAAGCCTAAAACGTTGCCACCTCATCTCAAACTGGGGTCCACACCCTGGCCCACACTATCACCACCACCTGATATACATACCCCCCACACATTCTAGTTTCACTCTGTTCTGAATTCTCTTTCTCAATCTTCTCCACTGTTTCCAAGTTCAATTCTTTTTATCTCTCCCAACTTTCTTCTTCTGTTTCCCTTTCTGGGTTTTGTTTTCTCTTTTCTTTCTTTTCCACTGACGTTCTCAAATGGTTACACAAAAGTTTTGCCATAGATTCTTCAAGTTCCGTGTACTGTTTCTCATAACCACTTCCACTTGTGAATGGTCCCTGTGAATGGCCTAAACTGACCCTTACCAAAAGCCACGAGTATCTTATGCGCCTTCAAATTTTTTGACACACGAAGGGCAGTGACAGGAACATGTCGGTTTCATAGGAAAATTATTATCAGTTTATTCCCTTCTTCTCACCTGTCTTATCTTGTCAAATCTTGCAGCTCCACTCCCTCTCTCTATCTCTCTCTGCACTTTTCTGTTTTCAAAACGAACGAGCAAACTTAATCAAATGGTTGCTAAGGACTATGATCCCTTGACATGCGCGGTTGGTGTGAAAATGGGTAGGATAATGCAGTGTGTTGATCACTCGAGGCTTTTTTGGCTGTTTTTTGGGGTCTTCTCCCACGTTTACCACGAGGGGAAACCTCGGATTTAGGATTCTGCAAGTACCTTGGAGAATAGAACGAACCGCTTTTTTGTTTGTTTTTTGTTCTTGGCTTTTCAACTTTCTTTGCACTGAAGTTGTTGTCTGCAGACAATAGCTTTCGAAGTTTTGGTGATTGTTAGTTTAGTTACTTAGTTGGAGTGTATAGTTAAGAATTCAACATGTATTCCAATAAAGGGTATAGAGATGATCGCAAAGCTGAGCCTCGTTACATTGAAACCGACCCAAATGGTAGATATGCTCGGGTAAGTTCTGAATCATATAATTTTGTGGCTTTTCATTTGCAAATATGTTGCGAATATTTTAATCTTGTTCGAAATTGGATTGATTTTTTGTTATTTGAATGTTAAAAAGGTACTTTTTTTGTGTGTATAAAAGGGGAAACAACTTCCTGGTATTTCTTTGTCTCTAGTGAGCTCACTGAGCTGTGATACTGTGTTACTAGATTTTAGTGAAATCTTAGATAGCTGATGGAAAGAACTGATTCAAAAAATAACGTGGGTAATCAAATGCCAAATGATTAGACATCTCAGGACAAAACTTAGATGCTTTTGTTATTGTTTTCTAAATAGAATTTAAGTTTCACCTATCTGTATAAAAACTATAAATTCTGATTAGGAAATAGTATCAAAAGCGACTAAGGTCCTGCGTATAAATTTGTCAAGCTTGTTATTTCTTATGACTCATTATTTTGTCTCAATTTTCATAGCAGAATCCTCTGGAGTTGAACTTCTATTACTTTTGGGCAATCTGTTTGAGTGGTTGAATAACTTTACAGGATATTTGTACGTGTAGTGTGAGTCTACTTTAAATAGCCATCGTTCACTGCATGCTTACCCATTTACAGCAGATTTGTGGCATTTAAGGAAGGATATTTGTGTAAATTCAATATGCAAATGATTGTTTTTGAATGTGTGCAAGTGAAAGCATTGTCATCCTAAGAAATTTGATTTCTGCATCAAATATTCCCGGCTTAAATTACTGGGATTGTTTTGCACCAATCCTTTACTTGAGGCAGACAAATTAACAATTGAAAATGAATCTAGAATAAACCATATCCGTTTGTAGATTTCTTAAAAAAGGGATAGGCTTGTGGAATGCTATCTTAAAAAAAAATTGATCACTCACTTCCCTTTAATATCATCTGAATTTATCATAATTGTGAAAATATATTGCAAATGTGATATAACAGATATTGAATTACCAAAAATTGTGGATATATGGGACTATGTAGGACTGGAATTTTAAAAGTGGGACTTATATATGCATTAATTACTGAAAAAGGAAGTATTTAAATTTTCTTTTGATATTTGCAAGATTTATAAGCAGTGATGTCATGGACGTTATGCTGTAAAACTATGTGGTGTTGACTGAGATCATCATTTCAACAGTAATTTATTTTCTCCTTTTCCTGGTTTGAGCCAAGTCTAAACAATTTCTAAATTCTATTTCAAGGAGCTATGCATAGAATTTCTGTTAATTCTTTACTTCAAGTCTTATGGAAATTTGGATACCATCACAAAGATGATTTGATGTAAAAAAAGGTGTTTTTATGTGATTAGGTTGGAGATATTTTAGGAAAAGGGGCAATGAAGACAGTGTATAAAGCAATTGATGAGGTTCTTGGAACAGAGGTTGCATGGAGTCAGGTCAAACTGAATGATGCATTTCGAAAACCAGAGGACTTGGAGAGGCTTTATTTAGAGGTTCATCTCCTCAGCACCCTCAAGCACCAATCCATCATGAGATTCTACACCTCTTGGATTGATGTCAACAATAAGACCTTCAACTTCATCACAGAAATGTTTACTTCAGGGACTCTAAGAGAGTAACTTCCTTTCTGACTAAAATCACATTCCTCCTTTCGTTTAATCTTCACATTTTAGTATGATGGTGTTCAGAATCATTCTATGTTAATGTGTACATCGATGGAATACTATATATTAAACTCCATATGATAGGGATATGTAGTTTCATGACCAGCACATTTAGTATTGTTAGATTACTTGAATTATTTTAACTTTACATGATATCCATGCATGATTGCAGAATTAACCTTTAAATCACTATAAAAAGTACTATAACTGATTAGTTTGTGACTTATGCAGATACCGGAAGAAATATAAGCACATAGGTCTGAGAGCAATAAAGAGTTGGGCTCGGCAAATCTTACAGGGTCTTGTTTATCTGCATGAACATGATCCTCCAGTAATTCATAGGGACCTCAAATGTGACAATATATTTGTCAATGGCCATCTTGGACAAGTGAAAATTGGTGACCTGGGTCTAGCAGCAATTCTCCATGGTTCCCAACCAGCTCACAGTGTTATAGGTATTTATCTCTTTCCTGCCAATAAATGTTGAAAATATTGACTGCTGAAACTCTTCAATTGTTGTGTTGAATTTTTTCCACTGTCCTAGGCACTCCCGAGTTCATGGCACCAGAATTGTATGAGGAAGAATACAATGAACTAGTTGATGTGTACTCATTTGGCATGTGTGTTTTGGAAATGCTTACATCTGATTATCCATACAGTGAATGTACTAACCCTGCACAGATATACAAAAAAGTAACATCAGTAAGTTCTCATCGTGGTTTAAGGTTTGAAAATGTCAGTAGAGATATGTAGGATTTTATATATACGCAACTTTTCTGGCTTATGCTCAGGGGAAGCTACCAGCATCGTTTTTCAGGATTGAAGACACAGAAGCACAAAAGTTTATTGGCAAATGTCTAATAGCTGCAGCAGAGAGACCATCTGCAAAAGAATTGTTGCATGATCCATTTCTTTTGTCTAATGATGAATCATCCATGGCAAATATTAGAATTCAGAAGCCGTTTCTAAATTACAGCGAAATGGAAAAACTTCAACTGAGTGATGATTTACCAATGACTAAAATGTCAATAACTGGGAAGCTGAATTCACAAGATGACACTATCTTTCTCAAAGTGAAAATTTCTGAGAAGGATGGTATCGATATTTACTTGACTCTTGATATCCTCTTTCATTCGTTATAGAGAAAAATCTATTCTGAGCTTGTTTAAATACATGTCTGCAAGCACACTTTCACCTTAACATTTACTTTTGTTTGGTAAATGAACTTGATCGCTTAATTGAAGTAATGATAAAATCTTGTACAATTTTCACAGGTTCCTGTAGGAATGTATACTTTCCCTTTGACATTTACACAGACACCCCTGTTGATGTTGCAATAGAGATGGTGAAAGAGTTGGAAATCACAGATTTGGAGCCATCTGATATTGCACGTATGATTGAAGGAGAGATATCTGTGCTGCTGCCGAAATGGAGGAATAGTAACTGTCCAGAGAGCTGCCATACACACAGTTATAATGATGACAAGGACAATGAAGATCCTCAGCATCATTTCCACTCTATTTCTTCTTGCTCATCATCCCTAGAATCAATACTAGGCTCAGTCAACAGAGTGGATGACTTACTGAATGGATATCATTGGCTCAATGGTATGTCTCCATTGTCCCTACCCCCTACAACAATAGCTACTTGTGAAGTGTGCAAGTGTGAATAGGAAGTCAAACATTGAATAGAAATAATCAATTTGAGCAACATATAATTGAAAAGGACCTACAAATCTAACATGATTTGGAGTTGAATGTAGTGTGAAATTCATTTGTGTGATTCAATCTTGATCCACTGATCTAGTGTACCTAAATGAATTATATTACTTTATACTTTTCACAAGATTCATGTAATAAACAATGAAAACTAGAGTTTTTTTTCTTTACTTGCAGTTATTCACTCAAATTTCCAAGGATAAAATGGATAGATTGACCACCCCTGAGATATAAGTTGTCCATATAAGAGACCTAACACCAATTCCAACATAAAACCTTGAAGCTCAATGTTTATGGGTCCTTTTTTTTCTTATATACCACTCAACCATTCAATGAGACTTCCAACTCTGAGATATGAGTTGTCCATATAAGAGATCCGGCACCACTTCCAACATAAAATCTTAAAACTTAATGTTTATGGATCTTGTTTTTCTTTTATACCACTAAACTACTCAATTTGAGACTTTCAATTCATACTTGGATTCCTAACATTTTTATCTCTGGGGACTTAAATAGCAATGAGTTGTTAGAAACTTCACTTTGGGAAGGAGCAAAAGCAAGACTGTAGGCTTGGTGTCATGAAATCTTTCACGTAATTGAAAAGGGAACCATGATATCTTAGTTAAGTTTTATGGTGGGCATGAATTACTTAGGAAGTCCTGATGAAAATATAGTGTATTTTAGAACAATGACATTGAGGAAATGAACCATACTGTTTTTAACTAATTCTAGTTTCTGTGGTAACCTTGGTGTACTATTATTTGCAGGTGATATAGTTGATGATGGAAGTTCAATATGCTCTCCACATGGGATATGTTCGAACTCAAACATGTGTTCAATGGATGAGGAGGAGGAACATCATAAGGGTTCTAGAAGAAAAGATAAAGACCTCATCATAAAGAGTCACATGTGTACTAGATTTCACCCTAATGAAGACCACAAAATTCTGGCAGGACCACAAACACCTTCTACTGGCAAAAGTAACAGGATGATAGACAATCGCAGACTAACTAGGAACAAGTCATTAATTGATACGAGAAGCCAGCTACTGCACAGATCACTGGTTGAAGAGATAAACAAAAGAAGATTCAAGACAGTTGGAGCTGTGGAAAATATTGGATTTGTGACACCTTATCAGGTTACAAACAAAATTTCAAATCCAGCATGTGCTGCTTTCGATGTGAACTCTTCAAGTACGAAGGGAAAAAACTTGAGAGAAAAAAAAATTTGAAAGTGACTCTGTCTTCAGCTTTCAAATCAAATAAGAAAATATGGATAAATTCTGTGTCATGGATAAGAGCAAATGATATAGAGTCTGTTGGAATGATGGCTACAAACATCCACAAAATATGGTAATTTCAAGAAGTTAAATTATGAATTTGTTAATATAACTTGTAAATAATATAATGAATATAAACTATTTGGAAATTGTTTTGTATTGTAAAAATTACTAACAAATCTGCATCTCACTTTACTAACAAATATTAATAAAAAATATTCATTTAAAAGTATTTTAAAAAAACAACAAAAATAGTAGAGATTTCAAACGCATCATAAACTATAAAAAGATGTCTCTAATTATAAACAAACAATCAAGAAAATTTCCCAAGGCAAACTAAATAATAAATTAGCCATCATGGCAAACACGAGACAATTACTCTCAAATAAGATGTTAATTACATGAGATGATTGTGCATTAACTTATTTTCCTAATTACTAATTTCACACGTAAACTTTACTTACAATGTATGATTGAATCTTAAACAATATACAATTAGTTATTTATATACTTTAGTGTGTGATTGAATCTTAACCAATATACAAATAACTATTTATTGACTTTATATTCAACTCATTTTCACCTATCAAAACACCAAGAAACAATTTGCCATACTATTTAATTTATTATTTCAAGAAGAAGAAGAAAAAGTTACAAAACTCAAACTGTTAAGTTGATTAAATATGTTTGCTAAAATCTTCAGTTAGTTGATATAATCAATTAAATCATCTTTATAATCAATTAAGTTGTAATATAATTTACTAATAACTTATTTTAGTAAATTAAATGCACATTTAGTGCCTATAAATAAATTAATCCATTTTAATTTATTCTTTATTATTTAAAATGAAATAACATACATTTAATTATTGAGATGATATTTCATGTTCAAGGAAGACTTGTTAAAAAGTGATATAGATATATATATATTTCTTTTTTTTTATCTACATATATTTTTAAAATTTATTCCCTAAATAAATGCTTTTTCAAACTAAAATAATTATTTTAAAAATTTTATTTGTTATTTTATTTGACCATTTATTTTAAATTTAACTATTTTATTATAAAATAAATAAAAACTATTTATAATAAAATTACAAAAAATGTTTTAATTTTTTTATTATAATGATAACCATAATAATAATAATTTTATTAATTTGTATTATCATAAAAAATGTAAAAACATGTATTCCATGTGTTTTTATCAGTATTTAACCTGGAGCATATCATTTAATAGGAAGGAAACTTTATCTTTTGTTTTTTTTTTTATAATTTTCATTTTAAAATGTTTAATAAATATTTGAGAAAATTTATTAGTTTAAATTTTTTATTAATAGGCACTAAACATATATTTTGTTTTTACTTTACTCTCTGTTTTAGAAAGAGAGTATTAATGAAGTTATAAAAGAAAGGAAAAAACAAAAAAAAAATAATAAAAATATGTCAATTGAAAATGAAAAAAGAGTATCATATTCATATTTGATGAAAATAATAATCGACTTTATCTAAAGTAGACTGGCATATATATTGACGCGAATCGTTTCATAATAAATAAAATTGTAAATATTTAAATGATTTGAAAACTGTTTCTCTCTATCTGTCAACAAATCGTAACAGGGATTGTGTGTTTAATTCTTATAAAAACAGATAAAAGACATTTTTTTTAGCGGAAAAATTATAAAAAAATGAAGATAAACGAAGAAAAATTTTCTGAATTTAACTTTATCTTCAATATAAATTAATTTTAACAACTAAAATTTTATGTTTTTTGTTTTTTTTTCTACTGAATTATTTGTAAATAGCTTTATCATGTACGATACTGTTTGGTTAAGAAGAATCAAGTATTAAGCTTTTTTCAAAGACAACAACATCATAAAGCATATCAATTCATGATTGGCTTATTGAATTTGGATGTGATATAATTGCTAACTCAAGGTACACTTCCAAAATTAAGCCAATTACTTAATATTGAATCCAAGAAATACCATAAAAATTTGACCCTTTTGATCTACTCCAAGAATTCACTAATAGTAAAATGAGATTTATAGCAATGGACCCATTTACACCAGTGAATCCTTATCATGAAAGCTGTGGAATGACTCATTTGCTACATGCAACAACATACTATTTTGGCTATAATTGACATTCATGCTAAACTAAAATTATGACACACAAATCCCTTGTTGATGAAGTTTAATAATTTCAGTTGAACACATGTTGGAGTAGGCTAGGAAGTGAACAAATTTTCTATTTGAGGTTGGGGTTGAATGCAACTTTTTCTATGTTGACTAGTCATGAACTTGTCCCACAACACTAAAATTTGAGGCCATCTAAAATCCAAACTTTCTGTCTCTACTGGATTTTTGAAAGAAACATGACCTCAAACATTAGGGTGTGTGTAAAGAGACTGATCAACTTTTAGCAAAGAAAAGTAAATTAAAGAGAGTGATGAAATGTGCAATTATGATACATTTTTCACCTTATAACACTGTCTAGTTGGCTAAGTGGACTTTTTTGCTCACTCTAATGTGGTCCTCCCACACCTTTGATTATTTCTACTACAGCCTGTGTTGTCATGATTTTGTGGTCCTCATCTTCTGCTGCATTAACTTTTCTTCCTTTTTTTTTCTTTTATTTGCTTCAACACTTCCCATTTCTACACAACTCAACCCATGTTTACAGTTTTTACATCTTCCATTTTTCTCCATTGGCTCTGATTTTCATGACTAACGTTATCAGTACTAAAACAAAACGTAATTGATAATATGATTATGCTTCTAAGTTGTAGTTACCTTTCTCACTGTGATTGAAACAGTTTAAGTGAGTTGACAAAGTTTTATCTAAACTACAGTTTTTCTCATCGTCAACATGATTTACACAATCTTAAAGTTCACAACTAAAATTAAGAAGAAGAAAAATCCATAGTGTCGGCATGTGTGTATAAAAGAACAACATCCTTCTTGTGTCAATGTTACATACGGATATCAAAGGAGTGTCGGTGTTGGAAGCGACTACTTCAGGGGTTCATAAGACAATGTTTTCACCTCTGTTAATATTGCTTCTTAAGTTCTTTTAGATTGTTTGTGATTCATTTAGTTAGTGAAATGAGACTTCTGTAGTGTATAAAGTAACTAATAATTGTTATCATGTTCAAGTATAAAGTTATTATCCATCAATACGTGACAGATGAATAGTAGATTCATAGATAAATGTAAATGTCACAGATTCATCTTTATTCTCTGTTCCCCACCACAAACAATGCCATCAACATGTTATCTTCTTGCCCACATATTGATTCCAAATATTCCACATATTTATCCCAAAAAAAATCTAAATAGTTCAGCAAATATATAACTTGCATTCCAAAAATTGAACCAAAAGATGAAGAAATTTACAATATGGTAAAGTTCTGATCAGTTACATTTGTAATGAATTAATGGGACCTATTCAGTTCTCCCAATATGGTAAAGTTTTGATCAGTTACATTTTTTAGGAACTACCTATACTTGCACATGTATTTGTGGTAAATATTTGAGTCTACTAGGGTTGACTAGGAAAAGAGTTAAGGCTACTGGTACCAAACTACCAATCCAGCATAGTGTTTTTAGTTGGCCAAGGGCTAGTGATGATGTACTATTCAAAGTTTCATACCTTTGAGGATTGTTAGTAAGTTACTATAAAAGAAGAAATATGTTTGATGTTTTTTCTGGTGTTGTGTTCTTACAGGAACACTGGTAATAAATCTCATCATTTGACAGCAAACATTCACAAACGGACTAGTTAAGGGGAAATTCTTGAAAAATAGTGATTAGAATAAAAATCTGTTTCTTTGGTTGTTAATTTCTTTATTTTCTGAAGGAACACTTGGTCATGTTAATTCTAAGTAAATTCTGCTATTTATTTTGCAGAAGTAACATTTGTCTAATTGCACCAACTTTTCGGACACTGTGAGGGATACAAGAAAGATGACTGTTTTCTTTTCTTTTACCTTTTTTTTTTCTTTTGCAACTAGTAATTTAAAAAGACTTTAATATAGACACAATCAAGTCTTCAAAGGACATCTGATTGGAATTTGACATGATAGATGAACACAAGCAACTAGAACAACAAAACCCACATAAGGAAGTGGCAGGGCCATTCAGAAAGTATATTTATTTATTTATTTATTTTTGTTAGCAGATTGTTGCTCATCATGACATATGGGTAGAGAATGGATCACAAACTGGTGCTTTTATGATGTTATCAATCACAATTCATCCATAGCTAGTTGTGAAGTAAGTGAGCTGATAGCACACTCTTGAACTCAAATTCCTTTTGGCAACTACATTTTTTAATTTGTGAAAGATTGATACAGCATTATATGAGAGTTCAGAACAAAAGTTGGTCCAGAGAAGTGTTACTTACAAGACTATACACATGCATTGGATAATTCTAAAATCTTTACATTCCAAGTAGAGTCATGTCATACCAAATTTGCTCAAATGCTTTGACAATGAGATCATGGTATTCCCTTGAATTCAGTGAAAGATAGCATGCAAGCAAGTTCTCCAAATCTTTTGATGCTCGGATATTGTTCTCCACTATCATCTCCACCATTGATTCCCTGAAGTCTCTTTGTGGATCAAGTGAGGACTTAACAACAGCAAATCCCTCTGGAAACCCTGTATCCACTGAGGCCTTGCCTGCTTTGGATGAAACACTCCTTCTTGAATAGGCTTGAACTTTCTTGCTTGCAAGTTTGGGAGAATTGACTCTAAGTCTTATACCAGTAGAATTAGCAGAGGAAATTCTAGATATTGGACTGGTTTTTCTGTCTCTCTTAGTTCTACTGCTTTCCTCTTTGCTAACTTTAACAGCTTGAGATTGATGAGAATTTACCTCATCAAATTTAGTTGATCTTCTCAACTCAATGGTTTCAATGACCTTATCATCAAACTTCACTGGCTTTGTCAATATTGGAGGAAGGCCTAATTGTGAAATTGTGTCAAACCCATCAAGATTTTGAGAATTTCCAGTGAGTGGTTCATTTTTCATGTCAATGATGATGTCATTGGTGGAAGAGCTAATTCTACAACTGCATTCAG